GGATTCTTGGTGCATGGGCGATATTGGATCTTTTGCTAGTGCTTTGCTCCGCTTAGCTTAGCTCAGCTCAGCTCCGCTCTGCCGCTCGAAAGCTCAGTGTATGTTGTGCGCTCTACGCCTGCCGCACGTAGAATGCTGAACGAGATTGTTGCTGCCAGCGGCTTTTATACCAAGACGCCGTCGACTATGTCGGCTTGGCTTCGGCTGCTACGCAACAAATCGTTTCGACTCGGCTCGCTTTAGCTGACGGCTGCCCGACACTTGTCTGTTGTTCTGCTGAGCGTTTAGCATATGTTCGTATTGGCAGCGACGCCGGCAGCGATGCTCTGGCAGCACTGACTGGTTGCCTGGCTGGGGCTGGCTGGCTCGCTGGCTGCCTGCTTGGTTGGTGGCCTGCATATTTGCTTTATGAATGTGTTTACCAGCAAACTTTTCCGCACAATGCTGGCTGCTGGGGTGTAAGCGAGCAAATGGGCGCCGGACGGCGCCTGGAGTGGGGTGAATTTTGTGATGCGATGCCGTTGCCGTTGCGGAAGAGGTGAGGAGAGGTGAGAGGTGAGTAGAGGGTGGGGTGACAAAAAGCTGCTTGCTGCGTGCGAAAGTGCCAACACTCGCATTAATAACAACAAAAGCAACAACTACAACAACAGCAGCAACAATAAGAAAAAGGCAAAGGAAGAAGAGGAGAAGACAACAGCAATTACAAATAACGGCAACAAGAACAATTGTAAGCCTGCAACAGCTCAATTAACTATCTGTCCGGCCGAACTCTGTCTGCATGTGCACGTGTGTTTGTACGTGTGTGCGTGCGCGCGTGTGTGTGTGTGTGTGTGTGTGCCCGTGTGTGTGTGTGTGTGCGTAGCTGTCTTTTATACGCGTAATTACGATTATTCTGGTAATTACGGAAAATGCAATTGCAATTGCATATGTTGAATATTATTTAACCAATGTCAATTGTGCGTAACACCTGTACATATGTATGTGTATGTGCTTGTGTGTGTGTCAGCTAAATGAAATAATTTATTTACAAAAA